GTTTCGTCTAATTCAGAAGCTAGTTGGGAAGCACAGCATTCAACTATTATCGTTTGAAGAGCTGGTCAGCAAATTGGAGGATCACTTCAGGTCAAAAACGCACATAATCAAAGCTCGGTATGATTTTTATAAGAGGAAAAAAATGGATACAGAATCTTATAATAAGTGGGTGGCTGAATTAAAAGGTATGGCTAGAGAATGCAATTTCGTATTTAAAAATGAAAATTGCAATAAGGAATTTGTCGATGAACTAATCCGTGACATAATTGTTTTATATGCTCCTGATGAGCCGGTCCGTACAGCAGCGTTACATAAGGTTGAGCCAACACTAAAGGAAGTTCTACAGATAGCTGACACGTATGAAGCAACTCAAAGCACTATTAAAAGTATTAAAACTAAGTCTGATGAGGCGGAAGTGTATGCAGTAAAGTACCGGAAACGACACGATCAGCATTTGGAGAATTCGAAATCGCAGATTCCAGTAAATCATGGAATAAAGGAGTAATTGTGAAACCCATCGGAAGAATAATGTACCTAATAGACACAGAAATGGGAAGAAGGATAAAACGTCACCAAAACCAAATCCGCGCACAACATGTGGCTGAGAACAGTTCTCAATTTTTGGAAGCCTCTCAACTACATTCATTCATTGGGGGAAAATCAATTTCATCTGCAATGCCTTCTCCAATAACTTCCGTTCCAACTGGTCATACGAGTTCTGCATTTCAACCTCGTTCTTCTCCACAAGATTTTTGGAGGCCATCTGTAATACGGAAGTCAACTCGTCTTAAACGCAAGCCAGATTTTTATACACCAGAAGTTTTCAAAAAATTGGCGAGGAGAAAATGATATGTTTTTACTTTGTTAAAAATTACTTGTTGATCTTCAGTTGATCTTGCTAACTTTGGAGAAAATGATTGTCTTAAAAATTTTCTATATTGTTTGATATTCAGTCTGGAAATAAACTTTACTTTAAACGTTTCATGAACGAACTCATTGCGCATTTCAGGTCTGCCGCTACCAAGCAATATATGTATAAATGATGCAGGCGTGCTTCGCGTAACTACATCCATTCGTACATATGTACATATGTTTGTGTGGATATATTCATGATGAAGCCAACGGGTTTTGTTGATGTACTGAGGGGCATATGTATGTACTTGTGGA